TGTCCCTGTGTCTGTGTGTCTGTGTGTGTCTCTCTGTGTCTGTGTAGCTCTCCGTCTGTGTGTCTGTGCGTGTCCCTGTGTCTGTGTGTCTGTGTGTGTCCCTGTGTCTGTGCGTGTCCCTATGTCTGTGTGTGTGTCCCTGTGTCTGTGCGTGTCCCTGTGTCTGTGTGTGTGTGTCCCTGTGTCTGTGTGTGTGTCCCTGTGTCTGTGTCGCTGTCCGTCTGCGTGTGTGTGTGTCCCTGTGTCTGTGCGTGTGTGTGTGTCCCTGTGTCTGTGCGTGTGTGTGTCCCTGTGTCTGTGTGTCTGTGTGTCCCTGTGTCTGTGCGTGTCCCTATGTCTGTGTGTGTGTGTCCCTGTGCTCTTGCGTCCCATTCCCGCTCACGGCTAAAGTCAGTGACACATTTCTGAACCGACCCTGGGCCACCCCTAGGTCGACTCGTCCTCAAATGAGCACGCGGTGTGCAAACATCGGCACTGGGGAGACAAAGGCGGCCGGGCGTGGTGCTGACCACCCGCCCCCTCGTGTGCCGTGCCGGCCTTCATAGGTGCTGCTCGCTAACAGCGCTTGCCTATGCGTGTACGTGTGTACATCAACGCAATGCATTTAATATTAACAACATTCATCTCAAACCCCTCCCGCGATCTTCAGCTCTCTACCGCCTCCTCTTACCTCTCCCTCCCTCTTCCTCCCCCTCTCCCTCCCCCACTCCCTCTCCCTCCCCCACTCCCTCCCCCTCTCCCTCTCCCCCCCTCTCCCTCCCCCTCTCCCTCTCCCCCCCTCTCCCCCCCTTTCCCTCCCCCTCTCCCTCCCTCGCTCCCTCCCCCCTTCTCCCTCCCCCTCTCCTCCCCCTCTCCCTCCATCTCCAACCCCCTCCCCTTCTCCTCCCCCTCTCCCTCGCTCCCTCTCCATCCACCTGCCCACATCCCTCCCTCCCGCGCCTCTTGCCTCCTCCCAACCCTGAGCCCCGCGTCTCCCCCCACCCCGCGCCCCGCCCTCACCTCATCCCCCGCCACCCCCTCCCCTCGGGTCACCCCTCCCCTCCCTCCCCCCCACCGCGTGCCCTCCCCCCCTCCCCGCGCCTCTACCGCACGTGCGCGCGCACGTGCCGCCCCAAACGTAGCACGCGCAGCAGGATACCCGCCCCACCCCTCCCCTCATCTCCCCCCCCACAGCCCCCACCCCTCTGCCTCATCCACCACAACCCCCTCCCCTCCTGCACAGCACAGCGTGCAACGCGCATTTGAGAAATTGACGGTCCCTCCCTCCCCTCCCTCTCTCCTCCCCTCCCTCCTCCCTCCCTCCTCCCTTCAATCCCTCCCTCCGTCTGTTCCTCTCTCCCTCCTTTTTTATTTTTTATTTTTTTTTATTTTTTTCCCTCCCTCCTCCCCTCCCTGCCCCCTCCTCGCCCTCCCTCCCTCCGCTCCCTCCCTCTCAACTCCCCTCCCTCCTCCCTTCAATCCCTCCCTCCGTCCGTTCCTCTCTCCCTCCTTTTAATTTTTTTAAATTTTTTACAATTTTTTCCCTTCCTCCTCCCCTCCCTGCCCCCTCCTCCTCGCCCTCCCTCCCTCCGCTCCCTCCCTCCCTCCTCCCCTCCCCCCTCCCTCCCTCCTCTCCCTCCCCTCCACCCTCCCTCCCTCCCCTCCCTCCTCCGCTCCCTCCACCCCTCCTCCCTCCCTCTCTCCCTCCGTTTCTCCCAATCTCTTTCTGCCGCTCTCCATCATCTCCGTGGTTACCGGGAAGGAGCGATGGCACCGTGGATTGCGGCCTTGCGCTCTGGACCCGGTACACCTGAGTTCGAATCCCAGGGCACGGCTAACATCAGTGGCGGAAAAAAACACGCACACTCCAAATATACAGCAGGCGTCAGGGTCGTGGGTTCGATCCCGGCCCTGACGCCTGCTGTACATTTGGAGTTCGCGGTGCGAGATGTCAACTTCCTCGCCTGGTATGCAGGAGGTCGTGGGTTCGATCCCGACCGTGACCCCTGCTGTTGTATATTTGGAGTTCGCGTGTCTTTTTCTCACCGTGCTCGCGTGGATTTTTCTCCGGGTCCTCCGATTTCCTCCCCCCCTCCCCCTCCACATTTAGAATAAACATCACGCGTTTTAGAGTGATTTGGCTGCTATAAATGTCCACACGGTGATAGGCCAACTTGGTTGAGCGATCGTTTGTGATAGCCAGGGAGAGCTTCTGAAAAAAAACAAGAGAGCTCTTGCAGCTCAGTAGGACCTTAACCGGCAAAATAAAATAAAAAAATAAAGGCGGCTTCCTTTGTTGTCAAAGCAATTAGAGTGGTCGATCCGTCGACTGCCTGGACGCGCTTGAGCACTGACCTTTCGTGACCTCCATTGCTTACATGCATTTCTAAAAACGTATACATCTATTTATCCATTTGTGCTTTTCCGAAGGGGGGGAGGGGGGGGCGGGGGGTGGGGGAGCCGGTTAAAGTATTCAACTTTGACACAGGGTTCGTGAGAAACACGGACATTGACAAAATGACATTTTCAACCAAAGCTGCAGAAAAATGCTGCCTGCAATTGACAGTGACATTCAGAGAGAGAGAGGAACGCGTGGATTCGGAGAACGTCCACACACACGCCAGTTCGAGTGTTCACACACCCACTGGTAATGGAATTCATCTGGAGATTGTGCAGAACTTAGCCGCAGGGCAAGACGAAACAATGGTGCGACGGCCGGGCCCTCCGCTAGGTCGACTCAGCCTCAAATGCGTAGTGTGTATACATCGCCACTTGGGAGACAAAGGCGGCCGCGTGTGGTGCTGGCCACCCAGGCCGGCGTTCGTGGGTGCTGCTGCTCGCTTACAGCACTTGCCCCAAACGGCCTGTGAAGGCTATACGGGTCATCTTTATCTTTGTGCACGTGTGTGCGAGTGGGGAGCGGTAGAGTAGTGGTTAGCGCTGCGCTATGAACCCGGCAATTCGAGGTCGATTCCCGCTCACGCCCAAACAGCCAGTGACGATTATTTGAACCGGTCCTAGGCCTCCCCTAGGTCGACTCAGCCTCAAATGCGTAGTGTGTATACATCGCCACTTGGGAGACAAAGGGGGCCGGGCGTGTTGCTGGCCACCCACCACCTCGTGTCCCCTTCCGGCCTTCAAAGATGCTTCTCTCTAACTGCACTTGCCCCAACATTCTCTGGAGCCTATTCGCGTGGATCTTTGTCTTTGTGTGTGTGAGATAGAGACACGGGGGGGGGTGGTTGAAGAGAGGGGAGCAATGGCTCGAGGCGGCGGTGATGGCTCGCGATTGGCTAAGTTCATTAATTAACTACACCGATGTTCAAGGTGATCTCATTTGGCCCGTGGACGATGGGGCTATTTGCGGTCTGTTGAGGGAGCGGCGAATCGTTAGGATTGTCCTTCCGCTGGTCACAATCACACATACATTATAGAGGAATTGCTGTTTTGGAAACGGGGGGCGCTGGGGAGGGGGGGAGTAAGATCGCGTTAATAGGGGCTGTCCTTAAATGACGTCACGCACCTGGGGGGGAGGGGCGGGGTCAGACATTTGTGACGATGTGTGACGAGGGGGGGAGGTTTGAGAAATGTGACGTCACATCAAAATGCGCAACTTTAAATAAATGTAGACAACACGTTCTACTTAATTAAATAGACGTTTAAAAAATGTTTTCTCCTACAACATCAGAGTGCAGCGCCACGTTAAATACGCACTACAATGACAATAGTTTAAAGCGATTTGAAGCATGTTTTATTTTCAAAATGGAAATATGGTTTTAGGGGGGGGGGCAGAGCGTTGTGACGTCATATATGAGGGGGGGGGTCTGACTTTTTGCGACGCCGTGTGACGAGGAGGGGGGGGGGGGGTCAAAAATCGTCCAAAATCGCGTGACGTCATTTATGGACGGCCCCATATTACGACGTCGTTAAACCCGCCACCACTCGACCGCATAGCCAATGAGTAAGGGTTCGTGACGTCAACAAAAAAACGTGGCGATGAGTTTATGGGCTCAGCACGCCGATGCGTTTGGAGGGCTAAACGAACGATCTGTAACAGCTTGTGAATGCCATTGGTACCTCATTTGCCAGTAAAAAATATGATAATTGTTTTTTTACCCTTTTACCTGGCAACAAAACTGACACCTTTTTTACGAGGAGTCATGTTTGCATAGACCACAATACCTGCAGTCATAATGCAAACAAAAAACATAACTCTGATAATGTATGTGCACTGTCCTTGAAGTTGAGTTGTGCGCCTTTTGGCGTCATCTGGTCCAACACCATGTGAGACGAGGCTCTAAGGAAAGCTGTCTCGGGTGTGGACCAATCAGTGACAGCCTTAACAGACTGTTGGGGCCATGGTGGACCAGCCCGTGTGTGGCTGCCTGTGTGCAGCTGTTTGTGTGTGACTGCCTGTGTGTGGCTGTCTGTGTGTGACTGCCTGTGTGTGACTGCCTGTGTGTGACTGCCTGTGTGCAGCTGCCTGTGTGCGGCTGCCTGTGTGTGACTGTCTGTGTGTGACTGCCTGTGTGTGACTGCCTGTGTGTGACTGTCTGTGTGTGGCTGTCTGTGTGTGGCTGCCTGTGTGCAGCTGCCTGTGTGTGACTGTCTGTGTGTGACTGCCTGTGTGTGACTGCCTGTGTGTGACTGCCTGTGTGTGACTGCCTGTGTGCAGCTGCCTGTGTGTGGCTGCCTGTGTGCAGCTGCCTGTGTGTGACTGTGTGTGACTGCATGTGTGTGACTGCCTGTGTGTGACTGCCTGTGTGTGACTGCCTGTGTGTGGCTGCCTGTGTGCAGCTGCCTGTGTGTGACTGTCTGCGTGTGACTGTCTGTGTGTGTCTGTGTGTGGCTGTCTGTGTGTGTCTGTGTGACTGCCTGTGTGTGACTGCCTGTGTGTGTGTCTGTGTGTGACTGCCTGTGTGTGTGTCTGTCTGTGACTGCCTGTGTGTGTGTCTGTGTGTGACTGCCTGTGTGTGTGTCTGTGTGTGACTGCCTGTGTGTGACTGCCTGTGCGTGGTTACTTGAGGAGCGCACTCTCCCCCTGGCGCACGGTGATGTTGTCCATCTGCCTCGGGAAGTCTGCAGAGCGCGCGGGGAGACCTGTGGAGAGACAAAGACGGCCAAGATTTGAGTCCCCTGCACACAGGCATGCACCCCACGCCGCCACTGCTCGCATAGGCAGCCACACACACACACGCACACACACACGCACACACACACGCACACACACACACGCACACACGCACACACACACGCACACACACGCACATACACGCACATACACGCACACACGCGCACACACACACGCACGCACACACGAACGCACACACACACGCACACACACACGCACACACACACGCACACACGCACGCGCCCTCTAGAGCATTGAACAGACTGTTGGGGCAAGTGCTGTTAGCGAAGAGCGCCTATGAAGGCCGGCACGAGTGGGTGGCCGGCTCCGCGCCCACCCGGCCGCCTTTGTCTCCCTCGTGGAGATGTTCACACACCCTACCGGGGGTACTCATTCGAGGCTGAGTCGACCTAGGGGAGGCCCAGGACCGGTTCACAATCATCGCTCTCACTGGCGTTGGCCGTGAGCGGGAATCGAACCCGGGTCCCTGGGTTCGTAGCGCCACGCTGCGCACCCCACGTGCACACCCACAGACAGTTTCACACGCGTACACCGTGACCTTTAACTTGGGCAGGGCAATCTCTCTCTCTCCCCTCTCCTCTCCCTCCCCTCTCCTCTCTCCTCTCTTCATCTCCCCCCCCCCCCTTAACTCCATCTCACTCTCCCCCTCCCATCTCGCTCGCTCCCTCCCTCCCTCTACCCTCCCTCTCCTCTCTCTCCCCTCTCCCCTACCTCCCCTCTCCTCATCTCCATAACTCCATCTCACTCTCCCCCTCCCAATCTCGCTCGCTCGCTCCCTCCCTCTCCCCTCCCTCCCTCTCCACTCCCTCCCTCTCCCCTCCCTCCCCTCTCCCCTACCTCCCCTCTCCCTCCCCTCTCCTCTGCTCATCTCCCCCCTTTAACTCCATCTCACTCTCCCATCTCGCTCGCTCCCTCCCTCTCCTCTCTTCATCTCCCCCCCCCTTAACTCCATCTCCCTCCTATCTCTCTCCCTCCCATCTCCCTCCCTCCTACCCGCCTCCTCCTTTCTCCTCTCTCCTCTCTCTCTCAGAATTTCATCTCGCAGATGTGCAACGAATCCACCAATTGTTGCGATGTGCGATCATAAAGCACACACACACAATGACACCGTGACAAAGACACCCCCGCGTGGCCTAACACAGAGCGCCCGAGGGCAAGTGTCGTTAGCGAGCACACGAAGGGGGGGGGGGGATGGCCAAGCACCACATCCTCCACGGCCGTGCATGCTTGCGAGTTGAACTTCTTTCGCGCCGTACGTAGACAGCCGTGCTCATTGGGGAGGTGCGTAGGGAAGCACAACACGACAAACCTGCCACACCCCCCGCTCCCCCCAGTGCTGAAGTTTATGCACCGCACGAGATACTAATTTGAGGCTGAGTAGATCTAGGGGAGAGGCCCAGGACCCGGTTGAGAAATTCACCGTGAGCGGGATTCTAACTTCGGCTCGCTGGGTTCTGTAGCTCACCGCGCGCCCCCCCTCCCCCCACACACAAGACAAAGATCCCCCGTGTAGCCTGTAACAGACTGTTGGGGCAAGTGCTGTTAGCGAGCAGCACCTATGAAGGCCGGTACGGCGGGTGGGTGGCCAGCACCACACCAGGACCGCCTTTGTCTCCCCGCAGTGCTGACGTGTACACGAACAGCGCCAAGGCCCAATTTAAGGCTGAGTCGACCTAGGGAAGGTCTAGGACCTGTTCAGATATTTGCCACCGATTTTTTTTTTGTTCGGGACGTGAGCGGAAATCGAACTCGGGAAAGCCCGGTCCCGTAGCGCGGTGCGCTAACCGCTGCGCCACCGCTCTCACTACACACGGACACGAATGACTGAGGCACACACACACGGCTGCGGGCAACACACGGACAGAGATGCACAGCGCTGACACGGTGACACAAAAGACGCACAATCAGACACGAACTCAGCGCTCAGACGCACGCTCATTAACACCAGTTAGGCCGTGTCCGTGTAGGCTCATGAATAATTAAAGCCCCATTAGTGATCTCCTTGCGAGCCTCATTAGGGGGGGGGGGGCAGGGGGAGGTGGAGGGGTAGGCAGGGGGGGGGGGGCATGGTTATTGAGGGGAATCTACACACCGTGCCCTCTCTGGTTCGAAACAAATACCGCGGTGACCCCTAACACGTAGACCTAACACGAGCCCTAACCCTTACTCTTGACCCTTAACCCCTAGAATTAACCCTAACACAAGCCCTAACTCATACTCTTGACCCTTAACCTCTAAACCTAACCCTAACACGAGCCCTAACCCTTACTCTAGACCCTAAACCCCTAGCCTTAACCCTAACACAAGCCCTAACCCTTACTCTTGAGCCTTAACCCCTAGACTTAACCCTAACACGAGGCCTAACCCATATTCTTGACCCTTAACCCCTAGACTTAACCCTAACACGAGCCCTAACCCTTACTCTTGACCCTTAACCCCTAGCCTTAACCCTAACACAAGCCCTAACCCATACTCTTGACCCTTAACCCCTAGACTTAACCCTAACACGAACCTTAACCCATACTCTTGACCCTTAACCCCTAGACTTAACCCTAACACGAGGCCTAAACCATACACTTGACCCTTAACCCCTAGACTTAACCCTAACACGAGGCCTAACCCTTACTCTTGACCCTAAACCCCTAGCCTTAACCCTAACACGAGGCCTAACCCATACACTTGACCCTTAACCCCTAGACTTAACCCTAACACGAGCCTTAACCATTACTCTTGAACCTAAACCCTAGCCCTAACCACTAACCCTAACCCCTAACCATTAGCCCTAACACGAGCCCTAACCCATACTCTTGACCCTAAACCCATAGCCCTAACCCATAGCCATAACCCCTAGCCCTAACCCTAACACGAGCTCTATCCCTGACACTCGACCTAACGCTAACTCGAACACTAACCCCAAGCTCTATCCCTGACACGAGCCCGAACAATACACCGACCCTTAACCCCAACGCTGACACGAAGCCATCACGCGAACAATCTCTCCCGACCTCGAATCACATCGCTGACCAACCCCCCCCCCTCCCAAAACAAACCCCAACAGGCATTAATAGGCGCTCGCAAACAAACGTTTGGCTCCGGGCATTGCATTAAAGGCCACGCGGGTGATCTGTGCCGCGGTGCGTCCATAAAACACGGAGCGCAAAAATAATAAAATGCTGAAACATAAATTACGAATAATGTAACAACAACAACAACTCCGTAAACATTTTCATCACAAAACGCAGCGACGCGTGTGGCTCTGTGCAATAGAACTTCGCGCTCTCTCTCTCGATAATAATAAAATAGAGCGAGTCGGAGTAGCCACGGGGCAGCCGCCTGGTCATTACTGAACCCACAGCCCCGCCCCCTTGATCCCCCCCTCCTCCCCCAGACCGCCGCCCCCCCCCCCCCCCCCCACGACCAAATTCCCCACAGCCCCACCCCTCACATCACGTTACCACCAACAACGCGTCACCACCACCCACCTACCCATTACCACCCACACATCATCCACCCCGTCACCACCACCAACTCACTCACCATCACCGCCACCAACTCACCCACCATCACCACCAACTCACTCACCATCACCGCCACCAACTCACCCACCATCACCACCAACTCACTCACCATCACCACCACCAGCTCACCACCATCACCGCCACCAACTCACCACCACCACCAACTCACTCACCATCACCACCACCAACTCACCCATCATCACCACCACCAACTCACCCACCATCACCACCAACTCACTCACCATCACCACCACCAGCTCACCACCATCACCGCCACCAACTGACCCACCATCACCACCAACTCACTCACCATCACCACCACCAACTCACCCATCATCACCACCACCAACTCACCCACCATCACCACCACCAACTCACCCACCATCACCACCACCAACTCACCCACCATCACCACCATCACCACCACCAACTCACCCACCATCACCACCACCAACTCACCCATCATCACCAACTCACCACCAACTCACCCACCATCACCAACTCACCACCACCAACTCACTCATCATCACCAACTCACCACCATCAACTCACCCACCGGCTGCACCGGTGAATTCATAAAAGTCGCGCTCTCTTCACTTCACATTTCCCAGCACACATAAGCGATTTCTATCTTTTTGTTTTTATATTTCCAGCTCTGATAGGCGGCGACGTAAATCATCACGCGTGTGCATTTTACATTTTAATTCCGCAGGACACACGCGCGATTTGACAAATGCTTCTGTGCGTTATTCCAATTCACGCGCATAAAGACAAAGACCCCCCCACCCATCCCCACACACACAACACACTCCCCGTATAGCCTCTAACAAACTTGGGGCAAGTGCTACTCGCCAGTATCGGAATATTTCTGTATACAGGTAGTCCTCTATTTACGATGGGGATGCGTTACGACGACCCCATCGTAAGTCGAAAATATCGTAAGTCGAAGATGGCCTCGCCTACCCAGGAGTCTTAAAGAATGGTGATAATTTAGAAAAAACAGAGCAATTCACAGTACCGTACTGCATAAACTATATACTGTATGTATTTATTAATTACAATACTGTATTGCACAGTAAAATGTAAAGGAAAAAAAAGGTAAATTCTTAGCCTACCTACATGAACTGCAATTTTATCAAAAGTTTTTTCAGGAAACAATCCTATCTGCTATAAAAACGTTTAACATGCATTGAACGTATCGTATCGTGGTAACCCTAAAATTAAATCGCTAAAGCTACGTATCATACATGCATTGAACGTATCGTTCGCTGCTGCGTTTGGCTGCCGCGGGAAATTTGAAATATTTTACAATTGTGTCGTATCGCCATCGTAAGATCGAAATATCGTAACTCGGGGACTACCTGTCGTGAATCGGATGAGCAATGAAGCTCCTTTTCACCGATGTCCAGCCTAGTAGCACCTGCACGGCA